ATGGCACTAAAAAGAACTGTTTATTTATAACTTGACCTGGATATAAACGTTAAACATCCGTCTCCCAAGACTCTGGAAAGAGTTATTATCTCTGAAAATTATCTCTGCAAAGTGAAGTGTCACGGTGTAGTTTCCATTTGCTAAGCAACGCCCGTAATAAGTGAGAGATAAAGGAGATAGACGCGCATCTGCATAGAGTTCAGAGTCCTTCATTTTCAGCACAGATACATTATAGGCTTCATAGCGATTCTTTGTTTTGTTATAGTCCTGGAAGTGTCCTGTACTACTAGATCCCCAGTTCTCTTTTGAGTGAACAAATTTTGCTGAACCTCCTTCTGATACTTCATTAGCTTCAAATTTTATGTTGCCAATCGTAACTTCCCTTCCACCACAATTTACATAAAAGGAATACCAGTCTGGGAAAAACCAAAGCAGATTAAGTTCTTTCGAGCATCTCTAACAAACTTTTCAAATATAAAAAACTCTCCATTTTAAAGAGTCAAACTTTAAAATTATGTTTCAACAGACTCTTTAATTGAACATTTTAATTTAGAGAGTGAGTTTAACTCTCCAAATTTAGAAAGCCAAACACACTCTTTATAATTTATGTATTCAAAATATTTCAATTTTCAATGAAAAATGATATATTAATTTAGAGGAAAGTTAGTGAAAATAAAAGACAGAAGAAAACAATATTTTTTTGAAGTAATAAAATTAAATATTACATATAAAGAACTTGTTGAAGTAAGTATTATATATAAAGAATTTGTTGAAGTACTTAAAATTTTTTACTCCCTAAATTTATAAATGTTCTCTGTGGCAAAAATACGCTTTAACATCTTAGAAATGGTGATTTTCGGGCTCAATTTTACGTTGTATCTCTCTACCAAATAACCAATCGAAACATCTCTAACCCACAATTAGTATATTCACCTCGGTTGCTCCTCAATCTCACTCACAAAGAACAAGATAACAGTGATGATTTGTAAGCCACAAAGGCATTGGAAAAACAGCAAAAAAGGACGAGAATTAACCAAAATACACAAGATTAAGGCAGCGATTTTCTATCTATATGGCAGCCGGCTTTTACGGGAAGAAGTAGCCACGTTTTTCCTCATTTTCATATACAAATCATACACTAACGGCTAGGGTAAAAAGCAACACGCGCACACACGCACACACACACACACACATATATATATATATAGGGTTAGGTTAGGCCTTAGTTGGGCCAATAAAGGTTAAATGGGCCAAAATTCAAAATCATCTAAGAGGTAATATATGGGTCATGAGTAGCTTTAATTTCTTAAGCTACTTCCTACGGTTCATGTTTTTGGGTCGAGCCTTTGGTATTGATTGTTGGTGAGAATTTCACTTATCAACCAATACTTATGAAATTCAATCCGATGTTTACATCATAGCCAAAGATTCATTGGGTATCAAAACTCAAAAAATATTCACCTTGATATCCAATCAACTTGCAATAATCAAAATACAAAGTTAATATTTGCATAATCAAGGCAACCAACAAAATTGAAATCACAAACCTTACCTTGTGTTTGGGACCTAAAACACATACTATACCCATTCTACGTACTCACCAGGGCTAAGGTCATAAACAAATACCCAAGTAAAAGCAGATAATAACAGTAAACAATCAAAAGCAAATAAACATGTGATGAATATATAACATAAGATAATACACAGATCTTTCCAAAACCACGTTCACACAGAACAAAAGATTAACACCAAGTTAATCAACAAACGATTAAAATATATGCAATAAATGCATAAATGACCAATGAAAAGGTCTCGCCACACTTCTATCCCATTCTTGTTGCTTACATCTCGAGAACACATATCTCCTTTCATTGCCCACCATGTTAATTAAACTGATCATTCAACTCATGTCTAACTAGTAAATCACAATAGATCTTAAATTCACGGATGATCCTCTATCACCGCATCATTTTCCAAACCTACGTGACTAAATGATAACTAAAGCACAAAAAACAATTACTAACTTACAGTCAAATTCAATATTTTAAATATGACAAATAATTCCTAAATTTCTACCACAATCAATGGTTACCTATACAGTAACCCCAATCCTAAAGTTGAAATTTAAATTGAGATAAATCAATAAATCAGAGCAGACTAATCTGAGTCCATAAATAATGAGAAATACAAATCTACACTTTTAGGTCACCACTATTCACCATAAAGTCTCCATCAATAGTAGAAATCAATCAATCACGATAGAATCCTGAACACGTGAAGGATAAATCTATCCAGATTCATCTGTATAACTCGAAACAGAAAACTAACAACACCAAAATATCAGAAAAAATGTCAGTAACAAATTGCCTAAAGAGACCTCCACCTGAAACCTTCACACATGCCCTCAAGCACCACCAAGAGCCTCTACAAATGGGATTCACATATAGCCATCCTAGTGCGCCTTCACCAGCATGTTATGCCAGTAGTCTCTATTTTATCTAACTCTTTCTGGTTTGATTTGAAATCATGAAAACAACCTCAGTTTTTTGGTATTTTTTTGGACAATCTATTTTCAGCTTCATTTCAGCCGATTTTTTGGTCCATTTTTCATCAATCTTTCAAGCCAAATCCACCACTTGAAGCTTTGATACCAATTTTCTTGGAAGCTTGCTCCAAGATCTTCGAAACTTTGATCTCAGAGCTCAATTTTACGTTAATTTTCTCTATGAAAAAATCAATCCACACAATCCAACCCATAAACAATATACTTACCTTAATTGCTCCTCAATCTCACACACAAATGTTAAGACAACTATGATGATTTGAGGGCTACAAAGGCATAAGAAAATTGATGGAAGAAAGAAAGAGAAGGGATGAAAATACACAAGATGAAGGCACTAGTTTCTCTCTATATGGTAGCTGATTTTTACAGGAAGAAGCAACCACGTTTTTCCTCTTTTTCATTCACAAATCATATACTAACAGCTAGGATAAAAGTAACATATATATAGGGTTAGGTTAGGCTTTAGATGGGCCAATAAATGGTTAAATAGGTCAAGATTTAAAGCTATCCAACAGGTAATATATATATATATGGGCTGTGAGTAGCATTAATTTTTAAGCTACTTCCAGTGGTTCATGTTGTTTTGGGGTCAATCCTTTGGACTTGATTATTGGTAATAATTTCATTCATTGACCAATACCTATGAAATTCAATCCAATGTTTACATTATAGCCCGAAATTTATTGGATATCAATACCTAACACTCTTTAAATTGTAGAATATGCTCGAGTGTAAAAAGACAAAAGAGTGTAACTATATACTATATATAACATTACTACTGCATTCCTTTTGTTTTTGGTTTTCAACTTGAGTTCAAAAAATGATGTTGCTAACTTGATGGCATACTACACTTGGATGATGAGATTCGAGTAAACAATCAAGGCTAAGCTTGTAAAATGAAGTGCTTACCCTTTGAACAAGGAGTGAGGCACTTTCCATGTTCTCTGTATCAAGTCATGGCAAGTGAGCAGAATGAATAATATGATATACAAAGTTATGATTAAATTACAATAATCTTATCTACATAAAAAGCAACTTAAAAACTCACAAACTATTTTCTCCATTAAAGCTTCTGAACAAGTTTCTGATGAAAGGAAAAAAAAAACATATTGAAGCTATGAAGAAGCATAAAGAAAGAAAGCATGGGAAGAAAAATTGGCGCTTACATATTGTCCCTGCATATTGATTGCTCAGAAGTCTCATTGAAGTTATTGTAGGAAAGATCTATGTGGCTGCGAATGCATTTAATATCTCTTTAAAAACTTATTTCAATCCTCCAAAATAAACGAAGGAAAAGAACCCATAAATGACACAGTGATAAAAGTCCAGCAATACGTAGTAACTAAAGTAAAAATGAGATTGTTTTTGAACTTATGAGACTAGTCCTATATCTTAAGGTAAGCTTGAACAACAAGATGACAATTGTATGTCTGGATATAAAGATGTCAACAGAGCTCCTGAGAGAAATGGGGAAATTCCATTTATGCATGAATTTGAGGACATCGTCATTTATGATGGACAATGCTACTATTAAATCACGGATATAATTTTATAGACGTTAAATAATAAAAAACATAGAAGTGAACTTACTGTTCTTCACTTATGCTCTGGATCCAATTTGGAATTTGCCCACTGAGAGAGTTACTAGTCAGATACCTAATCACAAACATAAAACTCAAATGCAGTCTAAATTATATCTTTAGATTACAAACTAAAAATACTAAAAGCAAAACAACATGAATGACGAACAGAACATCATGAAACAACAGAAGTATAGGAGAGTATATGAATGACGCTTGAATACTAAGGATTGAATATTGTTGTGGTTCGAACCACAGTATTGTTGCTCCCATATTTTCAGCCCATTAGAATGTCTTATGAAAATGTGACTTTATAAGTGGCATTCTGCCTGATGATGACACCTGGTTCTATTCCTACCGTTGGATGAAGGCTTACATTTTTCTGGTGATATATAAGGGACTTAATGCTTCGTTTGGCAGTGTGACTGTTCATTTTGTCTGACTTCTCGAGTGAGGATCGAGAGAGTTCTTTTGTTCTCTCGAGTTAGGGTTTTCTGTTCCCTATTTTCTTGAAATCAATCATCTCATTCGATGTGTACATTGAAGGCTGTTAACCACTAATACTTATATATTCTTGAGTGATACTTAGAGTCCTCATGTGTTGATGTTAGGGATTTGGTATGTTGATTCATTGTGGGTCTGAGGCAGATTTGTGGTTCCTTTGAAGAGATAAGTCTATTTTCTGTGTATTCTCGTAGTGGTTGAACTCTGTAACCTTCTATTACCTATTTTTGGGGCTTTAGTACAACTGAGCAATATCCACTTTCGATTGGATGTTCAACAGGGGACTAGGTGCTTAGTCACTGAACCTCTGGAGCTTTGACCGAAAATCTTGTTGTGTTCTTTATTTTCTGCAAGTTTAATTTCTGTTATTTTGATTAATTGAATCTTGCAACTTATTGTGTGGGTTTTTGGCCCCCTTTCAATGGTATCAGAGCGTTAAACTGGGGCAAGATACCTGGATCTTTAAAGGAGAGAATCGATCTGCTGCAGATCTAAAATTTTTGGAACTACGATTAAGCAGTATTGAAGGACCTTGAGTATTTTATACTCGCTGGGTGAGATCTTTTAATTTTGTAAAGTTTACTTTTCGAAATTTGTGTGTTACAATTTTTTTTCCTTGATTAACCATACACCAACTACCCACTGGTGTCTGGTCTTTGTCCAAAGGCTCCTGCAATGTCTTGGGAATCTAAGAAAAGCCCAGTTTGGGGGTGTATCTAGGGAATCTTGAAGTAGGAATTTCAGAAACCTAAAATTTCTGCCCTCTGTTATTAAGTCCTTGAGTTGATATGCATATTACATATGTGATTTAAAGTTGCTTGTGTCTTCTTGAACAATACTGTGAATTTGTGTTGACACTGTTGTGTGTCCAGTGTATGCTGTGTTGTGATCTTTTGACTCGAACTTGCTAAATTTGAGGTTGCACAATTTGATGGAAAAATTGATTACAATATGTGGAGTCAAAAGATGAAAGCTATACTAATGCAAATGAGATGTGTTAGGGCTTTTGATGACACTTGGCCTCAAGATATGAACCATACTAGGAAGGCTGAATTAGAAGAGGTAGTTTTGAGTACTATCTTCTTGTACCTGTCTGAGAATGTGATAAGAACTATTGGTAAAACTATGACAGCTTCTGAATTGTGGACTAAACTTGAAAAACAGTATGTGACAAAAACCATCCCAAACAAATTTTATTTGTTAAAACAACTCTTTTCTTTTAAGATGGACCCTTCCACTGATTTGGATGATAACTTGAATAGTTTTACAAAATTGACCCAAGATCTGACCAACTGTGATGAAAAACTTTTAGAAGATCAGTTGGTTGTGATCTTGTTGAACTCCATTAGTGAGAAATATAAAGACATTAAGGTTACCTTGGAATATGGTAGGGATGAATTGACTACAGAAATAATAATTAATACCCTAAAGACTAAAGCCCTAGAAATCAAATCTGAGACCAAAGAAAGTCATAATGGGGATACCTTATTGGTTAAAGGAAAAGGTTTTAGTAAATCCAACTATCACTCAAAAGCTTCATTTGAAAATAAGCAAAAATGGGGTGATAAAGGTAAGTCTAAGAACAAGGCCAAAGGTAAGAAATGTTTCTATTGTGGAAAATGGGGACGCTTTATCAAAGACTGTTATAAAAAGAAAAATGAGTCAAAAGAAAAGAAACATGAAGTTGGTGATGCTGCCTTAGTATATAACAAAGATAAAATTGAAGATGGCTTGGTCCTTGTTAATGGGGACAAGAGACTAAATGATGAATGGATTCTTAATTCAAGCTGTTCATTTCATATGTGCCCTAATAAGAATAGTTTTCTTGAAATTGAAAAAACTACTAGTGGGCAAGTCACAATTGGTAACAATATGACATGTAAAGTGAATGGAATATGTACTATTAAATTGTTGCTTGATAATGGAAAGGTCCTATTTTTAAAGGGAACCGGATATGTTCCTGAACTTGAGAGGAATTTAATTTCTCTAGGAATGTTAAATGATATGGAGTTCAACATAAAATTGGGACATAGGCATATTGAAATTCTTAGGGGCAATGATCTAGTCATAAGCACACCAAGAGACATGGACTTTACTTTCTTAAAGCTAAACCTTTACTTGGCTTAACTGCTGCTGCTTTGATTGAAAAATTTTCTCTTGCAAAATAATGGCAAGAAAAACTAGGCCACATTGGCAAGAAAAGTTTAAAGGCTTTAGAAAATAAAGGAATTTTTGGTAAACAAAATCTTGGTGATATTGGTCATTGTGAACAATGTGTGATTGGTAAACAGGTTAAGCTTTCTTATTTGCCTGGAACCTATAAAACTAAACAAATTCTCGAGTACTTGCATGCTGATTTATGGGGACCTGCATCTATGTGTACTCTTTCAGGTTTTAAATATTATCTTTTGATCATTGATGATTTTTCAAGAAAAATCTGGGTTTTCTTATTAAAATCTAAAGATGAGACCTTTTCAGTCTTTAGGGATTGGAAAACACAAATAGAAAATCAAACCGAGTATAAGATATACTTAGTTAATAGAACACCCACTTCTGCCCTAAACTTTGAAGTACCTAAATCTGTGTGGACTAAAAATTCTGTTGATTATTCACACTTAAAAACCTTTGGATGTGCTACTTATGCACACCAAAATATTGGAAAATCAAAACTTAGATCACTTAAATGTGTTTTCCTAGGTTATGGTGAAAATGTTAAAGGGTATAGATTGTGGGTTAAAAGTGAGAAAGGGTATAGGATGATTGTTAGGATAGATGTTGTTTTCAATGAATCCCTTATGCCATGCCTAGAAGGAAAGCATAATTTGATTTCTAATGATGTCCAAATTGATGTGGAGCCTCGTAAGATTGAAGGAGAAACCCCTGTACCTGTTGCACCAGAAATGATTAATGCAGAAAATGAAGCTGAAAATGAAACTAAAAATAATCTGCATGATAACACTAATGACCAGATTGAAACCCTACCTATCCCATTGAAGAATATCAATTAACTAGATATAGGGAAAGAAGGTAGACTAGACCACTTGCAATATATGATTCTAATGATTTTGTTTCATTATTTACCTATCAAGAACAAATTGAAAATGAGCCTAACACTTATGAAGATGCCATAAATTGCAAAGATTCTAAGCATTGGATAGCAGCTATGGAAGATGAAATGAGTTCACTTCTTAAAAATAAAACCTGGAAAATAGTTAAGAAGCCAAAAGGTCAAAAGCTTATAGACTGTAAATGGATTTATAAGATAAGAGAAGGGGAGGAAGGAAATAATAGTGTAAGGTATAAGGCTAGATTAGTTGCAAATGGATTTACACAAAAAGAAGGTGTAGATTACACTGAAATATTTTCTCCTGTAGCTAAATACACTACAATCAGATGTTTACTTGCTTTAGTTGCTCAATTTGGATGGGAACTTGACCAGTTAGATGTTAAGATTGCCTTCCTTTATGGTGATCTGGAAGAAACAATTTATTTGAAACTACTGGTCGGGTTTGTGAAAAGAAATCCAGAAAATGTTGTGTGTCTGTTAAAGAAATCTCTGTATGGCCTAAAACTGGCTCCTAGGTAGTGGTACAAAAGATTTGATTCCTTTGTATTGAAACTTGGTTTTCAAGGGAGCAATTATGATACATTTTTGTATTGTAGTAGTAAAGGAGGTAAACATTCTCTTTATCTTGTAATGTATGTGGATGATATGCTGCTTGAAAGTTGTGATAAATCTGAAATTGAATATATTAAGCAACAACTTAAATCTGAATTTGAAATGAAAGATCTTGAAAATGCTAAAAGGATTCTTGGCATGCAAATTTATAAAGATAAAGAAAAAACATGTTATTTCTGAATCAGTATGATTATGTGATAAAAATTTTGAAAAAAATTCAACATGTTTGACTATAAATCTGTGTCTCTGCCTCTTGCAAATCATTTTAAGCTTATCTCTGATCTCTGTCCCAAAACTTTTGAAGAATCTGATAAAATGTCAAAAGTACCTTATGCAAATGTTATTGGTTCTGTGATGTATTTGATGGTATGTACTAGACTTGATCTTACTTTTAGTATTAGCATATTAAGTAGGTTTATGAGTAACCCTGAGGAAGAACACTGGAATGCCTTAAAATGGCTCTTGAGATACTTAAATGGTACTATAAACTTGGTCTTGTGTTTAAAATGAACAAAGAAGGGGTAACTTTAAAGGGATTTACTGATTCTGACTTTGCTAAAAATAAGGATAATAGAAAATCAACTTCATCTTATTTCTTTACCTTATGTGGTACAGTAGTCAGTTGGAAATCACAATTACAAAAGATTGTAGCTTTATCCTCAACTGAAGTAGAATACAGATGCTTTTAAAGAAGGAATATGGCTAAGTGGATTACTTAAGGAACTTGGATTTGTTGATGAAAATGCAACGTTATATTCTGATAATCAAAGTGCTATACATCTTAGTAAAAACCCCATGTATCATGATAGGACTAAACACATAGACATTAGGTATCATTTTATTAGAGACATTATTTCAAAAGGTGTTTTGAAAATTGGTAAAGTACCTATATA